TTTTAGAAATTCTAGGAGCCACTAGTAAACCTGCAGATTGAGAGCGAAGTGCTCTGTTAGGAACATAAGGAACAATGGAATCAGCTGCGTTGTTCTTTATTTTTTAATTTGAAGCAGGTTGTAAACCATCAGCTTTGATTTCTATCAACTAAACATCGGAATCAGTTGAATGAATGAAAAGGAATTTATTTCAGAAACTGACAATCAGCAATAAATAAATCAACTTAAAAAAATATTTTAAACAAACAAACAAAATAAAAACATCCAAATACACACAAAAAGAGACTGGTTAACATCAAGCTAAACTCCAATTTCTAAAAAAACAAAATTGATTTGAGTAAAAATGGAAACAAAACTTTCCACTAAATAAACCTTTCAGTACATCCAGCCAGGGAACTGACATGGATTAATGTAGATTGTCTGAAAATTGTTATGAAGTAAAACTTAGTCTTTAAACCCCCTCGCCCTATAATTGAACTTAAAGTAACTTAAAGTAAAGTAACCTCCCTGTTAAACTTCAGTCTCTTATTCAATATTCACACACAGACACATGCAATCTCTCTCTCTCTCTCTCTCTCTCTCTCTCTCTCTCTCTATATATATATATATATATATATATATATATATATATATATATATATATATATACATATACGTATTTTAGAAACTTTGTGATGTCAGTAATATACAGGATAAATGATCTTGCCCCCCATACTGACCTCTAGGGGAAACCACAAACAATATCCAAGCAACATGACTAGCAGTCACCCATTTACACCAATTGTTGTCTGTTGCTTAGATAACGTTTCATCCAGAGTAGTACTACTCCCCAGATGCCATGATTCTCCAATTTCTTAATATTTTGAGATTTATTTTTGTCAAAAGCTTTTTTGAGACAATGAAATAAACCAACTGAAGGTTTCTTATTATTTAAGGCGCTGGTGATTTTTTTCCATCAATTCCATGACGGACATTGCTGTAGATCTTTGTGATCTAAATCCATACTGACTTTTGGAAAGCAGTTTATTTTTATTAATGAAGGTATCAAATCTATCCACAAATAGTTTCTCCCAAATTTAGGAAAAGTGTGGAAGTACAGAAACAGGCCTATAATTTGTGAAATGGTGTCTGTCCCCAGATATGTAAAGTGTTATTGTTAAATGTGTTTGGAGTCAATAGTTTTATTATTTTCAGCAGCATATGTTTGTTGTTCCTTCTCCCTGCTTAACTTGAACTCTGTGAAAAGAACAGAAAATCTTTAAGAATATTTTACAAATCAAGCATTAGAATTTGTTTTATTTAAAAGCCAAACTATTTTGTAAATTCTATTTCTTTCTATTGCTGAAGAGCAGTTCTGTGTTTGTGTTCTAATTATAACCATGTTGATATTGAAATCTTTTCTTTCTGTCTGATGTAACCTGAGCTCACCTGAAGCTGTGCTGCTTTTCTTTGGCAGCTTAAAAAGGGTCCACCTGTTCCTCCACTTCCTAAAGCCACTCCCACTAAAGAAGTGGCAGAAGAGCAAATAATTGACCTGTTTGGTGGAGAATTTCTACCTGCACCGTCACCATCTCAGGTATGACAGGAAATAAAACCCTGCTCATGGGAGCCTTTTCTCCAGTTTAACCCATTTTGTTTTTTTCTTCCTCCACAGCCAAACGAACGACCCGGAGAGTCTCTTCTAGATTTGGACTTTGATGCTTTTCAGCCAGATGAAACTGTTGCACCGATACCTCAGGTGCTCATACCACCACAACACACTTAGACACCTGAAAGACAAAGAACAGTTAGAGGAAGGGAACCAACCATCTGTGCTGTGCTCACTGGTCTGGATCTGATTTGGTCCACTTCCAGACCAAACATGGAGATTTGAAGGTTTTGGTTTACCAGGACCCAGACGGTCTAGAACCTCCATTTGGATGCACTTCAGGAGAAGAGTGATTGTGTAACTAGGCAGAAACTGTACTTTCTGACAATCTGACACGAGTCAATCCTGCCCTCTGGTGGCTATTCTAGATGTTATAGCTCTTAAACTAGAACTCATAATGTAAAGCTGCTTATTATTAAATTGATAATATCATGGGTCTTGTTGATGAACTGTAGTTTACACTGTTGAAATAGAAGGTAACTTAAACATGATTGAAAGCACTTTATTATATTTCTGACCTGAAATATGAGCTATAACAAGACATTCTGTTTGTTGTAGACGGCTGTACCCTGGGACATGTGGTCGGTGAGTAGTAGCTCCCAAACTCTTCTCATTAAACACTCATGTATGAAATGCTTTATGTTTTTGTTCTTATAAATCTTGTTGAGATGAACCAAGAAGGTCAGAAAAAGGTTCTAAGTGTTCATCTAGAGAGGAACCGTGGTACTGCAGCAGGCAGTCAGAGGTGAAGGCAGACTGAGGCATGGTCTTCTATCAGACTGTAGCTCTGAGCCCCTTCTTGTTTGCAGTAGTGATGATTGACAGACAGGGCAGACAAAAGGCTGCATGGAACAGGATATCTGTAGCAGTGAAAGCATGGAGGCTCAGAGAGAGGAGGGTAGGTTCAGAGGCCTTTCCACCAAGCTGGATGGAACAAAGCATGGAGGCTTCCTGCAGGGAAAATGCTCTAATTAAACCTGTAAACTGATTATTCACAGAAGCAGAGCAAACAGAATGGATCAAACTGTAACTGTGACATGGTTCCCAGGTTAGGCTTCTTTTGTAGAACCCTAACTACAGTTATTAACTGTAGTTAATAACTGGTTCTAGCTCTGAATCTGCATTGGAGATAAACAACTAGAAGAAAGTGAATATCCTCAGCAAAGCCACAAGGAACAGGTGCTGAGCCTGTCTAAGCACCAGTTAGGAACTGGAACCAGTTGGATGGAACAAATGCACCAGACTGTCTAGAAGAACTTGGGTGTTGTTTTCATTCCCTGGTTGGGATTCTGGTCTGGTCTAAACCAGGACCTCAGTTTTCCTCCACTTTCAGCTGTAGATGTTTACATGATGAAGGATTCAGCAGACAGGAGGTAACCATGGTGCATTTGTCCTGAAATAACCTCATCCACAAACTTTTCCTTCTAGAATGTTTGTAAGCTGTGCATTAAAAACATAATAAAGTCTTAAACTGAACAGATAAGAGTTTGGATGCTGATACGACTCATCTTCTGTCCTTTGCAGGCAAATGCTCAACCTGCTCATCCTGTAAGTACTAATTAAACTGATGCTTGTCTCTATTATCTGTGATGTCAGACTGTTTTAACAGCCCATTTTCACACACAGATTTGCCACTATTGATGTGTCTGTATCTGGGGGTTGGGTGGGTGGATAATTAAGGGTCTGTTCTCTATGGAATAGCTTGGATCCTGCAGAATGTAGCAGATCTTATGCCAGATTGAAACAAATCATAAACTTGGAGAACTTTCTCCTCCTGGATGATAGATGAAAAGCTTGATGTGAGAGAAAATGCATTTGTAACCCCTGTAGGGGCTTCATCTAGGAGAGGAACATGAAATGAGGCAGCGGGTCAGATCAGTAAAAGCTCCACCAGCAGCTATGTGCATTAAAGGAAAGAGTTAGCTCATGCCTCCCTGCAGGATGGTGTTCCAGCTAAGACTGATGCTACCTAATATCACCACAATGATTAAAAAACAGGACTTCCGGTGGTGACGCGCCTAAGATGGCTGCTTAGGAAAAGTGGCTGAGCCGACTTAGCTATTTTCCCAATTGATTCATAAATACAATTTGCAACCATATGTATACTGGTACCGAAACAACAACCCTAGAGTAACTTGCCATTATTTTACCCGCAACGCATCTCAAAATCAACGTAATAAAAAGACAGAGGAAACAGCGGACTCACCAAGGATGGCGGACTCATCCCCACAAGTTGCCAAAAACAGGGTGACTGAACTGCAGGGTATCAAGACTATCCTGGAGACCCTAGCTCATGAAGTCTCTGGTGTTAAAAGAGGAGTGGAGGCGGCAAATGCCTGGGCATCCGAATTACCAAGGCGGAGTCCAGAATATCAAAGTTGGAGAAGGAAGAGGCATAAAAGGGTCCCGATCGTGCACGACCTAGAGAGACAGAATAACATCCAGATAAGATAACAGTGCCGGAAGGTTTCTCCTGGCGGCAAAACATACGCATTCCAGGGGTGAAAGAAGGGATGGAGGGCCGCGACTGGGATGGCTTTATGAAAACGCTGCTAGCGGAGGCACTGGATATTAATGTAGACGACTGGTATGAAGCTGATAGGATTCACCAGGTCGGCCCCCGACCCTTAGGTTAGGAAAGGCCTCTGGAAACGATGGCTTCTCAGCAGACTTTTAGCAGAAATTCATAGACGATATTTCCCCGACATTGCTAGTTGTATATCAAGATGCATTTCATAGAGGTAGGTCACCTAAAACTATGAGGGAAGCAGTTATTACACTTCTCCATAAAAAGGGTTGAGGTCCACATCATTGTGGGAATCATTGCCCTATATCCTTGAATAATGTTGATGAGAAAATTCTTGCCAACATCTTAGCAACTAGATTGGAAAAGGTTGTCCCATTTCTCATTCACCAGGATCAGGGCAGGAGCACGGCACACAACCTTCAAAGACTATTACACATTATGTGGATGACAAGAAATTATGACACACCAACAGTTGCCTTTTCACTAAATGCAGAAAAGGCGTTAAATAAAGTGGAGTTCCCCTTTTTGTTTTACACACTAGAGAACTTTGGATTTGGCCCAATATTAAGGAAGTGGGTAGAATGAATGTACTCTGATCCATCAGCCACAGTCTTAACTAATGGGATTATGTCACCTTAAACCACTTTAAATCGTAAGGCTTCGACAAGGCTCACCTCTAATCTTTGCTATATTTCTTGAACCACTGGCTTTAGCCTTACGGACTAATTCAAATATACAGGGTTTGCAGGCGGGTCAAGAAGAAAACCAGCTCCTGCTGTATGCTGATGATGTGTTATTGATATCGTAATCCTGAATCCTCAGCCCCAGAAATTTGCTCAGAGATAGATTGGTTCTCAGAGATATCTGGTTATACCGTTAGCTGGTCAAAATCAGAAGCCATGCCGCTATCAAAAATGATGCCCCCCAGATATTAGAAAGAGCTGGAAATTCAGATGGATGCCTGAAGGATGAACATATCTGGGTATCAAATTAACGCCTGGCCTGGAAAAACTAATGGAAGCTAATATATCTCCACTCCTCAGAAAACTCAAACTCTGTTACAAAATGGGGATGAGTTGCATATCTCCCTGCTGGGCAAGATTAAATTTGTTAAAATGATTTTAACTCCCATGATCAATTACATCACATCCATGTTACCACTAACATTTCCTTCTTCACTATTTAAAATGTACAACAGAATGATAGAGAAGTTTATATGGGCAACAAGAAACCCATATTTAATCGGACTAAATTATACGCTGCAAACGATAAGGTGGGTTTAGCACTCTCACGAATAGACTGGTATCACTTGTCTTTTTCTTTATCGCAGCTATCTAAATTCACCTGCCCCCTACCAGGACCCCGCTGTGGGTCAGGATAGAGGAACAGTTGGTGCATCCTCTCTCTCTGGAGGCCTTCCTCTCTCAGAAGGATAGACCAGTCACCTCTCAGGATCCAGTAATGGCTTTTGCCAGAAAGTCTTGGAAAACTGCTCATCAAATAACAAAAAATGACCCGTATTTATCAAGCAGATCCTCAATATGGTATAACGAGAAACTGTCAATAGGTAAGAAAAGCTTCTTTTGGGACAAGTGGGTTAGATCTGGAATTAAAATTCTTGAGGATGTGACAGGACATGCAAGATTTAAATCCTTCGGTAAAATTAAAACGAAATGTAATTTGTCCAATTCAGAATTATAGCAATATTTACAAATTAGGCATTGCATTCTTTCAGACAAACACATTCAGTACAGTCAGACAGAAATCCTGGCAATATCCCATAACACTGGAGAGAAAAACAGAAGAGCTTCACATTTCTACGAACTCATTAGAAGTATGCAGGCACCTAAACTGGATGGGCTTAAGGCATGTTGGGATCTAGATGTTCATCATGGCACTGGATGGGCTGGAGGCATGTTGGGATAGGGATCTAGATGTTCATCATGGCACTGGATGGGCTGAAGGTATGTTGGGATAGGGATCTAGATGTTCATCATGGCACTGGATGGGCTGAAGGTATGTTGGGATAGGGATCTAGATGTTCATCATGGCACTGGATGGGCTGAAGGTATGTTGGGATAGGGATCTAGATGTTCATCATGGCACTGGATGGGCTGAAGGTATGTTGGGATAGGGATCTAGATGTTCATCATGGCACTGGATGGGCTGAAGCCATGTTG